ACAGAGCAGTGAGACAGCACCCTTTTACTGCCCTCTCCTCTCCTGGGATGGGACTCAGATGGCAGATTGAGGACTTGCTGAGCTGGAGAGCATTTTGAGGAGGCAGAACTTTGGAGCCTCCTGCTTGGGAGATGTGGTCTTGCAGAAGGAGTGGAGAGGAGCACACTGAAGGCTGGCTTTAGAATCCAGGCTTAAAAGAGAAAAAAGAAACAATATCAGTTCAAGTCCTACCTTAAAACCTGGTTTTCTTCTCCTTCTTCTCCCCCTCCTCCTCCTCCTCCTCCTCCTCCTCCTCCTCCTCCTCCTCCTCCTTCTTCTTTTAGATTTTATCTATTTATTTGACACACACACACAGAGAGAGAGAGATCACAAGCAGGCAGAGAGACAGGCAGAAAGAGAGGAGGAAGCAGGCTCCCAACTGAGCAGAGAGCCTGGTACGGGGCTCTATCCCAGGACCCTGGGATCATGACCCAAGCTGAAGGCAGAGGCTTTAACCCACTGAGCCACCCAGGCCACCCCTTTTAAACCGGGTTTTCTATGTCCCTGATGTTCCTTGGGGCCAGAGACTGAAACTCCTTCTCCTTCATATCCATCCAAACCTTGGATTTGCAGGATCCAGAGCACAAATGGAAAATGCCAGCTTCTGGCCAGCCCCTTCTCTTCCTTGGCCTCACTCCAGCCTGCACCTCTAGGGAGAGAGAGGTTGTGGGAAGCCAGTAAGCAAGAAGGCACAAGTACACTATATGTTATGGGATGAGATGACCCAGGGATGGGCAGGGAGGCGTCCTAGAGCTGGGGCCTTGTCTTATCGTGGGAAGGTACATGGAGCTGGCTGCAGGTGGAAACCATTCTTTTTTTTTTTTTTTAAGATTTTATTTATTTATTTAACAGACAGAGATCACAAGTAGGCAGAGAGGCAGGCAGAGAGAGAGAAAGGAGGAAGCAGGCTCCCTGCTGAGCAGTGAGCCCGATGCGGGGCTCGATCCCAGGACTCTGGGATCATGACCTGAGCCAAAGGCAGAGGCTTTAACCCACTGAGCCACCCAGGCACCCCAAGTGGGAACCATTCTTTTTCCCACAGTAGTTCAAGTCTTCCATCTTTCACACAGAAGGCAGAGAGATCTGTAGACTCAGGCACAAAAGTGCTCCAAGGTCAGGTCAGGCCTTTATGTTCCACCCAGATTCAGGGCTCTTGCCTCAAACAATACCTGGTTAGATTTGTTGAAACAGAACTTTAATTCAGAGGTCCCGATGTAGTATGGGTAATGTAGACTCCACATCAACTGAGTAGTTGCATAAAAATAGAACCAAGTGCAAATACCTCCAAGAGAGTCAAGTTGCAGTAAGATTCTTTGACTCCTTCCCCACTTGAGAGTTTATTCAATTTCTTCTGCCCTTCAGCTCTCCTAAATTGTCTCTGCTGTTATTTCTATTTCACGTGACTGGGGACTCCAGCCAGTAAACCAATGTCCATTTGGTGCCAGAACCAGTAGGACCAAGTTTTACTGCATTTGGTCAAGTCTTCATAAGCTCTGTTTTGCTTTCTCATAGAATGTTGCAGTCGGAAGGAATTTAAAGCCTGGTGCTTGAATGCTTTAAGTAACCAAGATCTCAAAACCTTCTAAGGCAGCTGAGTCTACTTTTGAGTCACTCTGACTTCCAAAGGGTCTTTTTTTTTTGGTTCAGCTGAGATCTGTCTTCTCCAATTTTCTAATCATTGGTCTGCATTTGACCCCTTGGGGTCCATCCAGGATATCTCCAGGTTATCTTTCCCAGTTAGCCACCATGGCCCCATTTACCACCACGGTCCATCTGAGTTGTCCCTGTGGATCAGACACCTCTAGTGTCTTTAACTGTTCTCCATTATTGTCCTTAAGAGCTGTCTCCTAAACCCACATGCTGAGTTGTTAGTTTCAAGGGGCTCCCAGTGAAGATGATGCCTGGGCTGTCGGATGGATGGATAACCTGACGTTCAGAAGAGAGGACTAAGCAGATGGATATAGATTTGAGAATCATTAGCTTGCGTAGCGTGATCAAAACCTTAACAGTAGATAAAGTTGCCCAGGGAGGCTTCAAGGTGAAGAGGGGATGGAACCTAGGGGGAGATGGGTTGTTCAAGGATGGGTGGACAAAGAGGGAGGAACATTCAAAGGACATGGAGAAGGAGTGGTTGGAGAGACTAGGGATGTACTGGAGAGAGTGTTACTATGGAAACCCAGGGAGGAGAGAGTTTAAAGTAGGGGTAGCAGTGATGTCTAAGGCAGCAGAGGCCCAGGAATTTGGCACGTGGGGAGAAGTGAGAGAGAGAGCTAAATTCTTTAGAGAATTTAGAGAGTTGAGAAAAGGAGAATTTAGAGAGTTGAGAAAAGGAGGGAGGAAGTAGAGTAAAGTGAGCTGGGAAGGGAAGTGGGGACCTAAGGAAGGGAGGAGTCTAGGAAGATGTATTTGTCTCTAGATTAGAGACCTGAGCTTGTCCAGTGCTAGTGGGAAGGGGCCAGACAAGAGACAGATGGGGTAGAGAGCAGAAGGAAAGATGTCCAGTTCCCCTGACATAGTAGGTATGTTCACCTACTGACGGCCAAGGGGAGCAAGTGTAGAGTCTGAGAGTAAATACCAAGGTTTGGAATAGATTACCCTACTCCTAACAAAATGACATGTCTCCTGTCTGACTGTGAGTAGGGCCACAGCCCCTGCTGCCTCTCCACCTCGTTGATGAGGGTGATTCCTGTGGATCCCATTGGTGGACTGAATGCGACTCCAGTTTATTACCTTTAACCTTGAGGGCAAATTGCTGATTAACACCTTTGGGTCCAAACTCTTCTCTTGATGAGACAGAGCCTGAGGGACTCTTCCCTGTGCTATACAAGAATCAAATTATTTATGACTGCAGCAGCCGCATGAGGTAGGATCTATTATTATCTCCACAAGGAAACTGAGGCACAGAAAGGATAAATAAATTCCTCCAGATCATTCAGCTGGTAAATGGGAGAGCCAAGCTAGGATTAGAATGCCAGGTATCTGGTTCCAGAGTCTAAGCTCTTAAGTTTCAAGAGGGAAAGAAGGAGCAAGGGTGAGAAGGAAGCTAAAGAGAGGGTAAGGGGTCCTGATGGTGTCTGAGTCCTGGTTCTAGTCCCTGAGGTCGAAGCTTTCCTAGTTCCTGCTCTCTTGAGACTTAATTCTTCAGCTCTGCCTTTGATGCTCTGAGGTACCCCAGTGTCATTTTAATAAAAGATGAAACCGGAGAGATTCTCCTGGACAGGTTGTGTTGTTTCTGAGAAACTGAAGTTTCATGTAGCCCTGATATCTGGGGATCTCTGAGGGGCAGGGTATGGTATCGACACCAAGGTGGATTCTGTAGGAAGGCACTGTCTTGCTTGAGAAAGGCAGTGTGGCAGTTGAGGGACCAAGTCAGACCTGGCATGAGAGTGTCCAGCCGCACGAGTCTCTTTTGTCCTAGACTCGCCTTTCCTAGGTGTCTGCCATGCTCTGTACCCTTGATATCCTCGAGGGTTCACCCACAGCCTTTCTGAGCTGGGACACTCTGGGTATCAGTTTTTCTTTTTAAAATATTTTTTAATTAATTAATTAATTAATTTATATTTTATTATTTTATTTATTTATTTTATTTTATTTATTTAATGACAGAGATTACAAGTAGGCAGAGAGGCAGGCAGAGAGAGAGAGGAGGAAGCAGGCTCCCTGCTGAGCAGAGATCCCGATGCGGGGCTTGATCCCAGGACCCTGGGATCATGACCTGAGCTGAAGGCAGAGGCTTTAACACACTGAGCCACCCAGGCGCCCCGGGTGTCGGTTTTTCTGTTGCCTTCTGCCCTCCCTTCTCCAGCCTGGGACCTAGTAGCTACATTCTCATCAGTGACCTATCACTTGCTCTCCCTATGCACCTGTCAGGCCGTATCCCAACCCTGAAGTGGCCCTACTATTTGTCTTCTCTGTGGGAATTCAGCTAGAGAAAATTCCACAGCCAGGCTAACTGGTTCCAGAACAAATTTATGATTTCCAACCTCAGCTGGGTTCTCAGTGTTGCTAAAAAATCTTTTTATGCCTCTGTCAGTATTTTTCAGATACCCCATGCTGACATCTCTGAGCTCTGGCTGTGCTTTCTTGAGCCCCTTCCCCCTCTCACTCTCTGTAATTTCTGTCTGCACGACTGGGGCAGGGATGGGATGCATATTGACTGAGCAGTTAGTGAAGGTGTTGTATACTATGCCCAGAATATTAAATGAAAGGAAATCAGAGGGCCTGCCAACCACAGTATGAAATTGGGGTCTGTGCTTCAGATCAGAAAAACACAGAATCACTGAGAAGAGTGGAGTTGTATCCCAGGCCTGGATTATAGTTTTAACATATCCAAAAAGAATGTGTCTGTTTACAAGTGCCTTGGTCAGCCATGAAAGTCCAAGATAAAGGGAGTCCCAGAGGCAATCTCTAGAATGAACCATTTCAATCACTGAACAATTGCAACTGATTGCACACACACACACAGTCACCCACTGAGACCCCACTGAGAAGGAAATATGGCAAATTTAAGCTTCATAATGCACCCGCTGCAGCAACACAGGGAACAATGAAGTCTCTACATGGCACTCATCAACCTTTCTAAAACATTTGACACAATCTTCAGGACTGGGGCTCTGCAGGTCTAGAAGCACATTTGGTTGTCCTGTGGCATTTGCATTAGACAGGGTTCCATGATGCTGTTGACTCACAAATTAAGATCTCTAACCCTCTTGCTTGAACTTCAGACTTGTGGATCCTACTTCTTGTGGATCCAACATCTACCCTTGAGTATTGAACAGATATCTCAAATACAAGAGGACCAAAACTTAGTTCCTCTCTCTGCCCAAAACCTGCTTTATCCGTAGTCATTTCCATTTTGGTTAATGTTCATGGTGCAGCTAAAATTGTCCATCAGCATCTAAGTTAGAAACCACGGTGATCAGGAACTGCTACTGCTGTTGTTGTTTCTTCCATTGCTTTCCCCACCATACACTTACCCTATGTTAGCTCTCTGGGTAGTAGCTGTGTCTTTCAACCCTTCCTGGCAGCCCCAAGCTCTCTGGGTAGTAGCTGTGTCTTTCAACCCTTCCTGGCAGCCCCAAGACGTGGTCTCTCATCCTGGGAAGGGCTAGGCTGGGCTGGCCAGGATTGAAAGATCTTAGGGGAGGAAGCTCAAGGATTATCCTGGAAGCCTGGATTCTATTAAGTCAAGAAAGCAGAGTGGTCATTAATCAGAAAGTCCTGGGTTCAAGTCCTGATTTCACCATTTACTAGCTATGAGAACCAGGCAAGTTATTTACCTTCTAGAAGATTCAGATCCTCATCAGTGAAATGATGGTTTTAACAGTATCAATGAGGGAGAGGAGTATTTTTTTTAAAGATTTTATTTATTTATTTGACAGAGACCACAAGTAGGTAGAGAGGCAGGCAGAGAAAGAGGGGGAAGCAGGCTCCCTGCTGAGCAGAGAACCCGATGCGGGGCTCGATCCCAGACCCTGAAATCATGACCTGAGCTGAAGGCAGAGGCTTTAACCCACTGAGCCACCCAGACGCCCGAGGGAGAGGAGTATTAATTAAATGAGAATATAAATAGTTACTGGTGTATAGGGAAAGCCCAGTTAAGTACTGGTAGTTATTCTCTATTTTAGGGTTTCCTGAGCTAGTAGTAAAGAAATAAAATAGGTTTGAGAGCCTAAAGAAATTCTTCTGAAATTCATAAGGAGCAATACATAAAATACTCATTGAAGAGTTGAAATGGAAAAAGATAATCCTTCCATAAATACATGTGTATAATTTTAGTTTTTCACATTATTCATCCCTTAATTCATCCATTAATTAACACATATTTATTGAATACTCATTATATGCCAGGCACTGTTCTAAATGCTGGAAAAAAATGTCAGTGAACAAAGCAGGCAAAATACCTGTTTTCTAGACTAAGATTTGATGGGGGTCAGATATTAAACAAAATAAATGTTATATTTATTTTGTTGGATGGCTAATGGTGATTCATTTGGAGTTTTAAATAGGGTGATCAAGGAAGGCGCATAACCCTATGTTCTGACCTGGAGGGAGATATGGAAATATCTTAAAATACGGTACCAGCCCTCTAGAAATGCACGGTCTGGTCAAGGAGAGAAGGCAGCATTCACATGTCAATCAGTGATGAAACAAGGCCTTACGTGAATGGCTGGTGGAGACCAGCAATGTTCTAGAAGGTCAGAGAAGCTGGATAGCGGGGGAGGGATGTGACCCAAGGACCCACTGGCAGGAATAGTCTGAAAAAATTTCATGAAGGGAGTGGAATTTAGCTGGAAAACTGAAGTAAGTTTTCTTCCTGCCCTTGTTCCCCTCCTGTTTGTTGCTGAGAAGCAGATTGTGTTGCAATGGGTAGAAAAGAAACATGAAACTTGGTATTTTCCAGGGAGTTGCTGTAATGAGAAGACACTATAACAGGAACAGAAACTGTCACAGTCGCTTCAGTAGAAGCCCATGTGGCCGGTCAGAAAGGGCTGGAGGAAGAACACAGCTTTCAGGGGAAGGTCAGGCTTTGAACTCAGTAGGAACCAAACTCCTGGAGACTCACTAACAACCTCCACCGAGAGGTGATTCCAACTCCGTGGCATGAAAATGTGAGCAGGCCACAGGTGGCCCTTGCTTATCCACCAGGAGCCACCAGCAGGAGGGTCCTTCTGTGTCCTTCCTAAGTCTTTGAGCTTGCACCTGTTCTCTGTGGATGTGGCCAAGTCCCACGATGGTCTTTGTTAGAAAAGCCTCAAGGAGTACAGCCATAACCCTGGGTGGGTGGTAGCCAGGTGCAAAATGGGGCTTGACAAGTGTGAGTTCCTGGTAACCATTTTAGATTGGATTTCGAGGGGAGAAAGAGGTCAGGATGTGTGAATCAGGAAATAAATTGGTTCTTTGGGCCTAAATGAGTCAGATCTCCAAGGAATCAAGTACATTAAATTCACCCTTGCTTGGTAAGGCAGGCACTGAGTTATTCTAACACAGTAGGGGAAAAAACAAAGGCTTAGGTAATGGGGCTTTCGAGTACACTGAGGATGGAGGAAGGGAGCCTTCTTGATCTCTTTCTTCTCATTCTCCATGTGGAATTGCTGACCTTTATTTTCTCATGGTTGTTTGGCCTTCAACTTGAACTAGTATCTAGTACAACTCATGTGCTTGGTAAAAACAGTGGCCCTTGTAAAATGTTGTGGTTAAAAAGCCCAGATAAGGGGCGTGTGGGTGGCTCAATCAGTTAAGTGTCTGCCTTCCGTTCAGGTCATGATCCGAGGGTTCTGGGACTGAGCCCCGCGTTGGGCTCCTTGCTCGGGGGGAGCCTTCTTCTCCCTCTGCCTGCTGCTCCCCTTGCTTGTGTGTACTTTCTTTCTCTGTCAAATAAAAATATCTTAAAAAAAAAAAACCCAAATAAGCAAACAAACTAAAACCACAAACTTAGGCTTTGAAGAAACACAGGCTTGGGTTCTCTTCCTGGCTTCCTCCATTACTAGTTCTGTGGCCTTGAACAAGACACTACATCTCTCTGAGCCTGTGTCCTCATCTGAAAAATGGGTATGATGACAGTGCAAACTTCCTGAGGTCATTGTAGGGGTTAAATGAGAAAATGCTAATGGAACACAGCACCTGGCATGTGGAAAGTGTTTAATACTTTCCACATTAGTTATTACATTTCCACAGTTAGTTATTACTACTATTTAGCCAACTGGGAATGAGGAAGAATGATTATTAAGGGACTAATGTACAACAAGTTGACAGAAGAGTGAAAATTGTATTGCCTTGAAATGTAACCAGACATCGCCAATAATGCTCCCAGTTAGCAGGCCTCGATTGCCTCCAGAATGGTCCCTGGGTTTGTCTCTTCCCATCGTTTCACCTTCTCCAGGCCCAGCCCCACAATCCTGAGCTTCATTCCTGTCTTCCTTGAAATCCAACATGGAGGTCTCGCTCCCTGATTACAGCAGCCAGAGGCTTTGTCTTGGCCTCTACCCAGCCGTCTGTGTCTCTGTTTCACCCCACTTCTCTTCGCTTCCTCGTAACATCGCAGATGTCCTTGTCCCCTAGCCTCTTTGTCTTTCAGTGAGCTTCATCCAAATTATGATCATTTTCTGCTTGGAGCCACTTATTCTAGATGAGCAAAGCTTGCAAATGTGTACATGGGTGTGATTATTGTAATTGCATTTTTATTTTTTTAAAGATTATTATTTATTCACTTATTTGACAGAGAGAGAGAGTGAGAGAGAGAGAGAGTGCACGAACAGGGGGATCAAGAGAGGGAGAGGGAGAAGCAGGCTCCCCGCTGAGCAGGGAGCCTGATGCGGGGCTCCATGCCAGGACCCTGGGATCATGACCTGAGCCAAAGGCAGATGCCCAACCGACTGAGCCACCCAGGCGCCTCCATGGATGTGATTTGAGGGTCAGCATGAACGAAGTACATTCATTCAGCTCAACAGTTACAAAACACAAGCGGTATTTTTTCAGAGGAAATTCAGATAACAATTAGATGTCATTTTCTCTGTGGCAAAGACAAGAAAAGAATGACCACATACTTTGAGTAGATAAGGAACATAAATTTATATAACCTTTGTGGAGATCGGTTCAACAAAGTGTATCAAAAGTGTTCATACACTAACATTTTCACACGCTCTTCAATTGAGCAATTCTACTCATAGGAACTTAATTAAGAGTGACAGCGAAGGGGCGCCTTTTTTGAAAAAGTTCTTAGTCATTTTAAAATGAAATAACAAGTCAAAAAATTATCTTTACTGGCAGCTAAATAATTATCACAGAACGTGCTGTTGTTGTGTAGACGAAGAGTGTAAGAATGGCCCCTTCCTCTGCCTCTGCCTCTCCTCCCCCTACCCCACTTGCATGCACGTGTGCTCTCTCTCTCTCGAAATAGATAAATAAAATCTTAAAAAAAAAGAAAGCACTGTGTACAGTGTGTTATAATGAATATTTATGTATTTTTAAAGCTTTGAAAGATGTATACCAATTTATGCTCTAGTATCTTTGGATTTGAAATTTACATAAGATTTTCCATCTTCTTTTTACTCCTCCATATTTTCTGATTGTCCTATGATGACTGTGAATTAGTCATGTAATTATAAGCCATTATAATTTGCATAAAATTGCCAGCAACATATTTTAGTCTTTGGAGATTCAAAAATGAAGAAGGGGAAGAGAACATATATTTGTTGAAAGTTTCTAATGTGCCAGACACTGGATTGAGTTCTTTGCATAACTTAATCCAATTAACTTTCACCATAATTGCATGAGATCTTATGGTCCCAGTTTATAGATAAGGACACTGAGACTCACAGAAGATTAGGAACTGGCTCAAGGTCATACATCCCTGGGAATTTCAAGCCAGATCTGACTCCAAAGCATTTATCATTATTCAAATAGATTTAAACTTTTTTGGTGACAGCACAGGAGCGTGCAGTCTGGGAGGAGCTGAGCACCCACATACCCAAAGACTTCTAGCCCAGGCAGTCCCTGACCAGTGGCATCGGAATTGCACAACAGAAGGCCGTGGAGACGCAGAGATGAGGCCCCTGGCCACCACAGCCAGGGAGCGAGAGCTGATTGGACTCAAGGTCAGATTCCAGGATCAGCAAGTGGGGCTTAGGCTTCTCCAGAAGGCCGAAGCATGTGGGTGCGCTGGCAAGGAGGGGCAGGTGGGAACGGATGAGGAGTCCTGGAGTTGCCTTGGAGAGGCTCCCAGCACCAGCAAACCTGGACTGGGATTGTCGGGAAGTGGTTTGCTGACTTGTGTTTCCTGGTTGATCCCTTTGCACCTCATTTATTTTCCGGCAGGAGAGCTTTAATCTCATTGATTTTCACTCCTGGGTTTGTCTACTTATTTGAAATCTCTTCTTTTTGATTAGTCTCTGTGCCCTATTGAGCACCGCTGAGTGCTTCCGCTTCATGCTCATTGAAGAGCCTGGTGAGGATGAGGACAGCCTGTCTGTAGGACCAGGAAGAGGCTCCCAGAGGCAGAGGCCAGGCAGGGTCCCTGGGTGGGCGCTCCATCTTCTTGGCCACCTGGAGTCCTCCAGCACACTGGAAATATCAGAGAGGAAGAAAAGGAGAGGAGCAGAGGGCAGAGGGCGAGGCTGAGGCAAAACCTGAACAATTAGGATGGGGATGGACGATGGGGGCAGAACCCCAGGCCAGGCTGCCATCTCCCTCTCTCTCTTCTCTGGCATTTGACCAACTAGGGATTCACTCCAGTTATATTTTAAAATACGTCTTTGAAAAAAATCAATGCAATTCATGATCCTGGATTAGATTCTGGATTGAATATAAGTTAAAAAAAATCTCTAGGAAGATGAGGGATATAAATCAGTCATATATTAATTAGTTTTCTAAGTTTTCTTTTTCTCTGGGAATAAGATAGAAAAATAAAGGGAGATAGATTTTGGTTAAGAGAGTAAAAATAATTCTAAGAAGAAGAATTAAAAGGGGACAAACAACTTTAGTATTTCCCATACTGCTCATATGTGAGACGTTGCCTGACTGGTCCCTGGTAATGTGAGATTTCTGAGTTGTATAAAGAGCTTAACATTTAGGATCCTCCAGGATGTGGGATGCTGGGGGGGGGGTCTTTGAACCTCTTTCTCATCCATCCCCTCCTCCTTGTTTGTCCTCCCTTCTGAACGCATGCCTTGGGGAACCCTCCTCTCTCTCCTCTTCCTTGGGCTCCTCGCTGGTGGGCTTTGCCTCCCACTCCTGGGTGTTCCTGGTCTCTCAGGTGGCCTTCTTCAGAGTGTCATCCGCAGACGTCCTGCATTGGAAGAGATTCTGCAGACCTTGAAAGTCCTGGGCTCCACTTCAGACCCAAGGAATCAGAACTCGGGATCTGCATTTTAACAAGCTTCTTTGGTGCTTCCTCTGCACCTGGGAGATGAGGAGCTCTTGTTCTGTGGCCTTGGAGGTTACTTAGAACCTAAATCTCCACCTCCTCTCTGTCCTTCTCTACTTGTAGTCTCCTTTCCTCCTTGGCATAGAGATACTCGGCCTTGACTGCAAGTGCAGGTGTGTAAGCGGTGGTTTCTAGGGTCCGCCACAATAC